TTTGCATGATGGGATGTGATCCGTAAGTATAGAAAAAATGAACGTTCTTACGTCTCCGTAAGGATAGCCACGGCGTTTAAACAACTGATTTAAATTTATAACATGTCGGAGCTTATTATTGACAGAGTGGATTGTTATTATGCCCGGCAGCCGGCATATATTATTATATCTGACGGCTGCCGGCTGACGGCTGACGGCCCAAGATCATTCTTCTGTGTGCTTGCATATAGCAGGACGAGTAAATCTAAGTTGATTAGTCACAAAAACAGTACACAATTTCGAGGTAGTTTCCCATGCGCGGATGTAAACATGTTGGGGCTGCACTTGTCCGCGGCGCTTTGCATGATGGCAAATCCGTAAATATAGAAAAAATAAAGGTATTTACGTCTTCGTAAACATAGCCACGGCGCTTAAATTATTGTAAATGTTAACATAATCGCGAGCGTACAATATAACTTTTTTTGCGCGCTTTTTTACACGGTTTGGCGTGCATTATAACAACGTCAACGGCGTGTCACGTGACGCGTTTTGACCAATCATGATGCATAAAATATCCGAGCCGTTGTATAAGTTCGGATATTTCATATCATGCCACGGCGTTGTAGTGCATACAACTGTAAAGTTTTTATATCTAAGGCGTCAAAGGCATCAAAGATTACTTTTCATCGGTGAGAGAACATTTAAATAGTAAACAATATTATTATAGTTATTAGACAATGTTGTTGTTGACAGTTAGTTGCCATTGCGGTTGAAGGATACAGTAGGTTACATTACAAAATTGGCAGTGGCTACGGGTACGGTAGCCGTATCTTAATGTCTCGAGGCTACGGGTACGGGAGTCCATTCGCAATTTAAATTATACAGTAATAGTATTACAGTAAGATACAGGGATACAGTAAGATACAGGGATACAGTAAGATACGTTACAAAATTTTGAGATGTCATAAATATACCCTAAAACCCACAGGCACTTTACAGTAGGTTAGAGTGTGCCTCCTACCTACCAGTGTGCCTAGAGTGTGCCACTCTAACCTACTCACTACTGTGTATTTGTGCATGCACAATGGCGTGCGCGCTCACAGGCACTTGCCGCCATTGCGCGCACACTGACACATAAAAAAATATATATTTATGTGTCAGTGTGCGCGCAATGGCGGCGGCGTGTGTTTACAGTTGAAACGCTTCAAGTGCCTCTGTGCGCGCTATGTGTTGCAGCGGTGTATTGGACGGTATTGAAGTGACGTTATTACTATTAGGTCAAATCAAACATAAGACTATTACTGGTACTGGTACTGCCTACTGGTAGGTCTAGTACTGACAAGTTGTATTTATTAACCATCATTTTATTATTGAAATGGCCCAAGTGCCTGTGCTACCGTTCCCTTCTACATGGCTTTACCTTGCTACTGATATGTGTATACATTCACTTCAATCGTTATTAATTCACTTTTTAAAAGATCGTTTTTCAGAAACCCCGCTTTATTTAACTTTAGTAAATTACGTTCGCCATTTACAAACAATCAGACCAATCAGAGCGAGGCTTACAAAAGCCCCTGGTTCTCGCTTGCTGAGAACAATATATACATATACAATATCAAGAGCGGATAATACCTAGAGTGTACAACGGAAAAACGGGAAAATAGTGCTATTTCACGACTACATTATTCTACTTTGCCTGCGAGTCTAGAATAATTTCATGGTATTGCATTAAGCAGAATTCTTTGCTCTCTAAAACAAGACCAACCGCTTGTCAATACGATACTCCTAGGCGGAGATATCGCCTCCCACATGCCAAACGCCGCCTCGAATCCACTTCTGCCAGCATTC